GGTCTCTGCCTGCAGCACCACGTCCACCAGGCTGAAGATGGAGATGACCTGCAGCAGGGCGGGCGTGAGCGGTGGGCGACAGCCCCGGGGCCCAGCGGTGCAGGGAGGAGGTGGGCCCTCCCTCTAGGTGCTTGTGCATTACAGGGAGGGCTTGTTAATCAGGTGCTCAGGGGTCCCCAAAGTGAAGACCCCCCAGCTCCCGAGGGAGAGACAGAGCCTGTCGTTCCCCACAGGAGTGGGGGATCCCCAAGGCAGGGAAGGCAGACGCGGGGGCTCAGTGGCTGGGTGAGGCGAGGAGGGAGGCAGGTGCCTGGGGACGCAGGGTGCACGGACTGGCTCACCTGGTGCACAGGCTCCCTCCCAGTGTCCTGAGGCTCCCAGACCAGCGTGAGCTCTGGCTTCCTGCCCACCTTCTGGAAGTGGTGGGTCTGCAAGGGCAGGGCCTGGGGCACACAAGAGTTTCTTGTTGGGCTCTGGGCACTTTGGACCCTCCCACCCCAGAATGGCCCATGTCCTGGCCCACTCATCCTCTGTGCCACCCCCCGCCTCCTCTTGCCAGGCCCTCCGCTGGTTCACCACAGGAGAGGGTCAAGTCTCAAGTCCTGGGTGGTACTTCGGGCTTGTTACTGGGGGTGACGGCAGGGGTAGCCTGAGCAGACCCCGGGCAGGAAGGGCATAGAGGGAGGCAGTCCGTCTTGATCCTCAGGGACCACATTGCCCTCCAGGCTGGGCTGGAGGAGGACAAGCTGCCATTTCTTTTCGTGGGGGTCATGGGGTGAGAGCGAAGGGGGGGGGCAAAGGTCGGGCCAGAGGGCGGTGCTCACTCAACACCTGGAGCTGCCAGACTCCATCCAGCACGGGACAGAGTCCCTTGGCGACCTGCACCCTCCCTCGGGATGGCAGCTCGCCCCCTGGGGCCTCGGCCTGAGCCACCACTTGGATTCAGAGAACCTGCATGTGCCTTTCTCCGCCTGGACCTGTCTCCCATCTCTGAAGCTGCCGGAATTTCAGGGGCACCCGTCCTCCCCTCCCCATGGCCCGAGAAATGAGCCTTGCCGAGCCTGCTCAGCGCACGTGCACATGCGTGAGTACGTGCACCCATGTGCGTGCAGGGATTCTTTTTCTCATGGCTCTGTCCTCAGCCCCATTCCCTACAGAGGGGTCTCAGCGGGGCCGTGTCCCACAGGGCCCATGGTCACCTGTTCTGCCAAAGGAAGGACAGGTGTCTGGACCCACACTGCCCCGGACACAGCCAGCAATCTGCCCACCACCACCTGAGGGGCTGAGAACGCGGCTCTGGCCCCTCAGAGTGACAGGAAGACGGGTGGGCAGTGCTGAGGGGACGTGGCCAGCAGCTGTCCTTGGCCCGTCATCTCCCTGGCCTGCACATAGACCGCCATCCCCTCCCCGCTTCCCCTCTGAGCACTTAGCTCCCGAGGAGGGTCTGGGGCAGGGCAGAGAGGAGGGGTCCAAATCACATGCAGCTTCTTCATTGTAGGCAG